AGTTTTATCTTTTTAAAATCATCTTAAGATAAACATCTGTAAAAAACGAAATGAATAGTACTCAGTGTTCGCGTAAATAAAAATTTGAATAACGGTTCTTTATATCAATGTTGTATGCTAGAATTTTCATTAAATATGAACATTTGTATAGAATTGAATAGTCTTTGGTTTCGGTGTAGTATTTTGTGAACAGATTCGTGTCTTTTATTTTTCTCGCATTTTCCATTGTATTTTCTGTTCCTGTTGTCACTCATGGGTATTATCTGGACGAATCACGCCATGAGATGTTAAAATAGGACAATACATAGAAGGAACAAATGTTAGGTTTTATACAAAACACATATTGCATAGAAATTAAAGTCTCTAGCTTTGTTTTAGTGTTTTGTGGAACTGATTAGTGTCGTTGTGTTGTTTTTCGTTGTGTCCATTAAATTGTTTGTTTTCTGTCGCCACTTATAGGTCTTATTATGACGAAACACACATCTGGCATTTACATTTGCATTTAAAAGCATGGTATCGTTAATGAGATGTTTCTTTCCTCTGTTCCTCTTTCTGATCTTGTATTGTCCTCTTGGTACAATGGAGTAAATTTGTGATGAATAATCATTAAAGAAAGTTCAAGTACGATTATTTGTTAAAAGAAGAACAACTTTTGTTTATTTTCATGTTTATTTTTATTCGAACACTGTATCTCGATTCCTATAAAGTAATGAGTCAAGATCAAAATTATGATATAAAATATACCATATGTTGAGATAACTACTTTAAATAATTTTGGGATTATTAAATAAACTATAGTATCCTATAACACACAGGTACTTGCATATATAAGCAACAACATATTCAAGATTATTTTGTATATTCAAATGGAACGACTTTTCATTTATAAACCGTCACCAATAATTTAGCATTTTAATTATACACAAATAGTTTCTTTTCTGTACAAGATTACAATTTCAGTGTTTAACAGTGACAATTCAAATACTTTACATTGATTTTTGCTGCTTATCAGTCAAGACTGATCAGGTTGGAATCACAATAACATGTCACCATAGGATGATATGTTTTCATGGAGGTCCTTATCTGGAACGTTGACACATTAAAACTTCTTTTGATAAAGAACAAAGCAAATATTTCTAATGATATGGGCTGCTTATGATAGTTAATTTGTTTGCATTATTAGATCATCTTAAATTTATTATTAATATCATGCAAATTACACCATTTATCATATAAATCGTATTTAGTTTTCTTTGGTGAAAAAAGTTTTACGAATTTAAAACAGTCATCAGTTTGATATATTGTGCATGTTGTAATTAAATTCAATATGATCATTAAGTCAATATATAAATACTACATATGTTTCGTTGTACGTCAACGGAAGGAACTGTTATTTCAGCTACTTTTCATGATGATTTGCTAGGATTTTGAGATTCCGAAGGATAGTTAATTCTAAATTCCTGTCTTCTATCACAGATTATATGTACGTTTGAAAGTCGGAATTATTGATTTTTAATAGTGATACAAAAAAACTGCATATTTGTCACGTATTTTTTTTTTTCAAATAGCCTTTTCATTGGTTTATCATTCAAATAATTCTTTGCTTAATTTTTTTGTGGATGTTGCCTTCTAAAACATAATTGATTTAAAATAGAATAAACACCAACTTGGCAGAAGTTAAGATGCAAAATACAAAAAGGTCAATAGATGATTTGTAATCTGATATCATTGGTATTATCATAAGTCTATGTTTCATATACCAATATCCATGGCTATTTGATCTTCACATTGAGTATACAAGACGAATCTTAAAATCTGGCTGTAATAGACGATTAATCGAGCGTATGACCAATGTTGAATAATCATTGGATTACATAAGCAATAGGACGAAACAATGTTGATTTCATAGATCCTGCTCTACCGCTGACATCAGTCACAATGAACATGACCATTAAAGATTCGATGAAACATAACGTTTGCACTTTTTACAATCATGCACTTGAAAGTGTGTATTTAAAAATCATCAATAGAATACATTAGAATTGTCAATGATGATAACGCTTTATCAATTCCGCGCCTTTTTATTTACCTTTGTCGGAAACATGAGGAACGCTATATCTGCAACATTTGAAAGCATAGTATGTGTAAGACCTTATAAACACGTGAAAAGCTATATAACTAAAAGAGACAAAATATCTTGCCAAATTCATCTTAGGTTTACTTTCTTAAAGAGTTGAAACACTAGTTTCTTCATGATTTAAGACAGGGGATTTATTACCATTGTTTTTCAAATATCCTGTCATTTACGAGGCACTGAGTACTGAGTTAAAATATATTTTTTATATTTTTTTATAAATAAAAAAAAAACGATACATTTGACATATATTTATCAGATTTTTCTTTAAATTTAACCATGATTATAAAGTTTTATTTTTAGTTTTTTCAACGAACTGTTAATAAATCATGAAACTGTTTATTACAATAATTCTCAAACACTGTAATCAAAATGTATTCCTGGTTATGTTTTATATATGGTTAACAGTATAAACGAAATATCTAACTGGATCGATCCTCAACATGTACAATATTTAACCGGGCGACGTGTGATAGATCTGTAAAATCTGGTTTCTGACTGTATAGTTATCCTAAAATCTTAAAATAAGCAAGTTTAAACAAGGTATTTGTAGTTACAAACTAATTTATTGTTATGTGTATGCATGCCGTTGTTTGATTCTATTCATACATGAAGACAACCAATATTTTTTTATGAGCATGAAACAAAGATCAATCAGACATACAGTTTTATCATTAATTAAGATTATCTATTACTGTATTGTATTAAAATAATCATTGTTATTATTATAATTGCCATTATTTTTATTATAATTATTTACTAATTTTCTTTGCACACTATCAATTAACCTTCATATATATTTTCTATAATGACGACTTAGATGATCAGTTTTATCATATCAGATTGTCAGGTAGAATTCTGGCATTCATAAGAAGATATATGATTACTCGCTTCTATACGTATATCATAACTGTACATGTTCATCAAAGGTGCCTTGAACAGAAAAGAAACTAAGCTTGCACTGCTTAGCGTACTTTTACAAATACATCTGATAATAATTAGTTTATACATTTTATCTAGAATTTATTGTTTCATTAACTTTCCAATACAAAGTTTACTATGCTCATTCTTCATTTAAATATGTTTGAAAGTATATTAATTTCTCTGTCATAATAAACTGACCCGAAATCCAAAGAAAAACGAGAAGCAGTCAAAATATTAAATTTCTTCAGTTGAGAAAACGCTTTACCATCAGATCATGCAGATTGCTTAAATCTAAAATTGATTCTATAAATAATATTTTACTCCTATTTCGATTTTAAGCATTATTAAACAATCAAAATGTAATGCAGGCATTTGGTTCATTAAAATATCTTAGATTGTGACTAAACAATGGCAGATCTTTGATTGTTTCTGTCATTTATGTTCGTAACTTTTGGAGATTTAAGGTCTGATATAGTTTATAGACACTTTTCTATTGTTGAATGCTATATGTTTTCGTCATGATATATGTTGGTTACTTGTGTCGTGTGTTTGCTGTCTGCTTGACATTTACGCAATTGGTACTTCAATATTTCCCCTGCCGCCGAAGCTTCTGGCTCCTTTTAGAGTCCATTTGATTGTCTAGGTGTGAGTGTGTTACCTTGAGTTCTATCGTCTTAAGAAAGATATATGTTATTCGAACTGTAAAATGTATACCCCATATTACCAAAATTGTAAACATCTATTTCAGTAAGAATCAAGTTCAAAAAGGTTTATTGTAGTTTTGTTTTGATAAAAACATGTTTTTGTTGCACCAGTATTTTTGCCTCTCAAGGATAAACCAAAATCCTTATGATTTCAAACTCGTAATTGGGTTCTATTATTGTCGGGTTATGTCAAATGGAAATTAAATTCCTTATTCGCAAAATGTTTTCGTTATCATGGTAATACTACGTAAATCTGCCTGTACACATATGGCATGTTCACTGTATAATTACAAAATTTAATACTTGGAAGTCTGGCTTCACAAAAATTATCCTTTTCAACATTATAGATAACAGCTTTTATACTTAATTCAAATTATAAAATTGAGAATAAAAACGGGGAATGCGTCAAAGAGACAACAACCGGACCATAGATTTCCAATTCTCTTCGTTTAAAACTATAATATTTGATTCCATTGACAAGGAATACATTTTATTTTTCTGTAATCTTATTTTTAATTCTTTTGCATCTAATCAGCTTATATTTCAATTCAATCAAATCGAATGCTACAAAGTGCATGACGGAAATGTCTGATAATGAAAGTACATGAAGTAAATGACTGATATTAATATATCAGTACACGCCGTCTACACGTGTTGTAATATGGAGCTTGGTATATATGAGAAGTAACCTGTTACGACCCACAAATGACTATTGTTACAAAAATGTTGGTCCTTTATTTAAGTTTACATCGGAACTTTTTGTATTTCTTTTACTGGCATGGCATTTTTGTTTAAACAAAATTCCCATTACCAAAAACCTTGAATTCATGACGCTGTTAGACAATAAATATTCTTTTCAGTGCCAGTTCAATCATGTATATAATTTAAACAATGTGACAAATGAAACTCTTAAATATCCGAGACAGCATACACGACAAAAATATTTCTCACTAAAACTTATTTTAAATACTGCAAATTGTTCATTAGTTACGCTATAATTCAGATTTTATCATTTCTAAAAAACACGATAATTGTATTAATTTGCAAATGCTTAAAACTCACGACAATGTTTTATTTGATGAAGCTTAAATGATTTTATCCATAAGAGTTTTTATCAAGCATACTAATGGATGTATAGAAATCTGGATGATAATCCTATCGATCGATTTTTACCAATTGTTACTCTCATATAAGCAGAAAATTAACGGAAATTTTATATTAGCTTTAAAGACCTTGGTGCTTGAGCATGAACATAGATATTATTCGGCTGAAATATTTCATGATTATGTTTTTAAGTATCATAAAGTATTGATGTTTTAGAAATGTAGCTACACTATTTTAGAATATAATGCTATTGACACCTGACGCCTTCTGTTGCGTAACTTGTATGACAACTACAGGAAAATGATCATATGTCAGTGTTTGATAATTCATATTAAGCTTGATACTAAATCAACAATATCTGTACTATCGTATTCGAGAAAAGTCATTTGAACAACTACCGCTTGATTGACACGTAGAGAAGTAACTTTTATATAATACTTATTATCACCGGTTGATTTCTACGAAAAGATTACAAGAACCAACAATGTGTATTTTAGGAAACCATTCAGGAGTAATCTTCAATCAAACGTCTGACACTTTATTTAAAACTTTGGAAACTTCTCTGTATGTTTACATTTTACCCGTTATTGTGGTAACAGGATCTATCGGTAATGTAGCAGCTTTAGCCATTTTTTGGAAAGGAAAATTCCGACATCTTTCGGTCGGTGTTTACATGAGGGTATATTCAATCATCAACTTGCTGAACTTGTTTTTAATATTTGGCCAATCTTGGATAGTTGACACTTTTTCGACAAACAGCATTGATAACTTATCAGGTTGGACATGCAAGGTATGGAATTTCTTCTACCGAGTTATAAGCTACTCTTGTGTATGGTTAATCGTCGGATTGACAGTAGACAGGTATCTATATGTCTGTCATCCACTGGATGCCAAGAGACTATGCACCGTTTTCCTCGCAAAAATAGCCATTGCTTTTATTTTTGTTGGTTTAACCGTGGTCAGTGTTCATGCGATGTGGTCTTATCTTATAATGGATGGGAAATGTATAATGGACCCATGCCAGGATTTACATATAACAATATGGCGCTGGATAACTATGAGTGTTTACTGTTTTGTTCCATTTTGTGCTCTATTCATTTTAAATATTCGGTTGATAATAGGTGTATATAAACGGAAACAGAAACTCGAAAAAGCTCAACGAAACTATGATTTTGTAAGTGCAACTCTTGCCATTTCGGTAATGTACCTGGCACTTAACTTACCTGGAACAATAACAAATATTAAGGAATATGTTGATTGGCCGAGTTATGTTAGTATTGAGAGGGTAATATCCGACTTTTTATCTTGTGGAAACCCGACAGCATTTTTCTTTTTATGTCTTATATTTTCAAAGACATTCCGTAATGAGTTAGTACTTCGCTTGAGAAAAAAATCTAAAGTTAGCAAGCCCATCAATATGAACATGACCGGCATTAATAAATACGAGTATATCGAATGTGCCTCTGAAACATTTGTCTAATATCAAACTGTTATTTAAAGGTATGTAGCTTTATGAACTCTAATAAAAAAAAAATGTAAATACTTATTATTTTCAATATTATCAGTGTTATATTCATTTTTCTTTTTCGAACATTTTTATTTCGTTTTCCTTGTGGAATTGTTCATTTACATGTGATATTCGTTTTGCTTACTAATGTTTTCTGTTTACTAACAACCACCAATGTTTGTTTTATTATGTGTCCAGTACATTAAACAATATTTTCTTAGACGTTCGTCTCGCCTATATCTCTTTGATACTGTTTAAAGTCAATAGAGCTGATGTTATGCCAGGCTCTTTGTTTTCTATATTTATTATGAATATTAATAATTAGTATCATTTATGATTTTAATTATTATTTAAGTTGCTGTTATAAAACAATTCTTAAATTTGAAATGCGTTTATTTCGATTTTGTATAGCCAATTAGAAGGAAAGCTTAAACTTTTTTATTTAACTTAGCTTTTACTGAATCAGCTAAAACAACGACTTCACAGATCTGATTAAAGGACTGCCAGCAAAATGTCCTAAAAATACTGGTAATGCTAATCAATGGTTAACTGCTTTACGATTTACTCAAATCAAAACGGATACAGAATTGAAAGATTAAACAAACCTGCTGAAGCATTTGAGATCACCCCCAAATAATAGTCATATTAATGAAAATGTTACTTTCCTTAGTAAACTAATGTCATGCCTGTAAGGGGGAAAAAAATAACACCACAAGTGATTATAAACCAAGTATTGTAACTGTTGAATTTACATATACAGATAGGCAGTATATGTTTTTCCAAAAAAGGATTATTATTCATGTATCGCTATACACTTTTTTGTGGTTAAAAGTAGTTCGATAGCAGGTTTACCTCGATATTCAAGAAATGGTAAGGTTGTTTACTGAAATCAGTATCATGTTTCCATGAACATACAGACAAACACTCAATCACATACACATACATTGCAATGCGTCTGTGGAGTTAAAAGACTCATCCGGTTTGAATATAAGCACGATTTCGCTGACAATTAGTCGAAAAAAAAAAACCCAAATCGAAACTTCAATTATTTCTTTTTTCCGATGTTATACCTGTACCTTTTATAAAACCAGGTTTAATCCACCATTTTCTACATAAAGAAATGCCTATCCCAAGTCAGGATTATGGTATTTGTTTTCCATTCGTTTGGTGTGTTGGAGCTTTTCATTTTGCCATTTCATAAGGGACTTGAATTTTCCTTGGAGTTCGGTATTTTTGTCATTTTACTTTTTACAGTATACATTTTGTAAGTTAATTTATTGTTGGATGTGTTTCCTTATCCAGCATAATAACACCCGGATAATGCTGTTCTCAGACTGTGTATTACGGATTACCCCTAATCGATTTGCAGTGTTATGATTGTACACTATTAATGTAATAGATTTTGAACTAAATTTCAGTAACTGCGAATATTCTTGGTCAGAGATTTTGTGTCCTTGTCTTTTTGTGCTCTATTCATTTTAAATATTCGGTTGATAATAGGTGTATATAAACGGAAACAGAAACTCGAAAAAGCTCAACGAAACTATGATTTTGTAAGTGCAACTCTTGCCATTTCGGTAATGTACCTGGCACTTAACTTACCTGGAGCAATAACAAATATTAAGGAATATGTTGATTGGCCGAGTTATGTTAGTATTGAGAGGGTAATATCCGACTTTTTATCTTGTGGAAACCCGACAGCATTTTTCTTTTTATGTCTTATATTTTCAAAGACATTCCGTAATGAGTTAGTACTTCGCTTGAGAAAAAAATCTAAAGTTAGCAAGCCCATCAATATGAACATGACCGGCATTAATAAATACGAGTATATCGAATGTGCCTCTGAAACATTTGTCTAATATCAAACTGTTATTTAAAGGTATGTAGCTTTATGAACTCTAATAAAAAAAAAATGTAAAATGTTCTCAGACTGTGTATTACGGATTACCCCTAATCGATTTGCAGTGCTATGATTTAAAAAAAAAATATGACTGCTCCTTTATATCATTTTTTTTTTACTTCTATTATTATCATGTGTTTAATTATTATTTGTACTGAATCAGAAGTCATTAGTATTATCATTATCATTGGTATCCTTGATCTTGTTGTTTTTGTTTTAGTTGTTGTTTTGAAGTTAATATCCCTTTTTATTTCCATTTTGATTAATAGTCTTAAACATGTTGAAATATACAAATATAAATAAGTAGATCATTTTCAACTCTGTTAAGTACGCGTTACGGATTATTAGCGGCATCAATATTTAATGTTCTTACATATTAAACCCTAACCACGAAACATAATTATATCGCGTATATCATATCCCATACCGTTTAACACAAAAACACGTCAATTGCTGTATCAATAATCTATAAACATGTTATAAAACGTATTACTAATGGTATTATTAACGCAAGATAATATGATCATATCAGTCTGAAACAACAATCATAACTACAAATAATTGATTTTCAATTCATAATTTAACTTGTTTGAAAACATTATATTGAAACATGATAGAAAAAGGTAACAGTCACATTTGATGTGCTCAAACAATTACATCAATTCAAAAATGAATGTAAAATCTATGACATAATCCTTTCACAATACTTTAGATAATCCAGCTAAACTAACCTGTAAATCAGTGGTTGTCATTGGTTACTGTGTGCCATATTTGTTTTTTCGTTTATTGTTTTATCAAGCCGCTACTTTTTTGTTAAAAATGTTTTACTTTCTGTCATTTCGTAGCATTTTGTAGCTGACTATTGATCAAATACCTTCGCTTATTTAAATCCTGGTCATTTGAACTCTGGTGAACAATTGTCTCATTGAAATCATTATACTATTCCTTATTTCATTTTGATCGATACCATGTAATAAAATATGAAAACCAAACCTTTAGCTAAAATGTCAAGCTGTCAAAACTAGTAAAAGGTGGTTAAGGATACCAAAAGGGATTGCAAAATAGTTGTCATTGAAAACATATAAAACTATGGTCAAATGAAATTAGGCCAGCTGGAAATCCAAACAGCACTACGGAAAAAGCTAAATATTGAACAAAACAAACCCCAACGGAATACGAGTTTTTTGTTTTATATTTATGGATGAATTTATTGCTTGTGTCTTTGGAGAAGACATGTTGGGAAATTTAATCTATTCTGTGAAAATATACAATAACCCATTAAAAGCGGATTTGTATCTTAAAAAATAATTCGAAGTAAAATAAACATTACATTTTAGAAAGCAAATACATTCAGTGTAACGGAATTGATTTGGAATGATATACTCATACAGTTGTTTTTGTCTAATTTAAGAGGTCAATGTCGCTTTGTCTGTTTCAAATAAAAATAGCATTATGCTGTACGATGTCCATGTGATATTAACTATTTAAACAAATATTATTACGAACTGGACACTTAAATTGATATTTTGTCGCAAGTGTATAATAAATAAACTCATCATAGAATACCTAGATCAAAACTGTGTACGTCTGACGGGTGTTTCGTCTACAAAAGACTCATTAGTAACGCCAGACAAAAACAAGTTAAAGTACGAGGACACGAAATTCCGCAAGGTATTGCCAGACACATCTAAGGTAATTTATTCCTTTGGTAGACAATCCTTAGTACTTCTTTAAAATTCTAATGTTAGTAAACAATTCATAATTATAAACTGAACAGTGATAATTCATGTCAGCACAAATGTGCTGACTACTAGGCTGGTGATAAATAGATAACCAGTTTTAACCGCACAAGAAGTTTAATAAAAAGAACCCATTAGATGGCTTTCTTTTTCAAATTGCATTTACAAAGCTTTGATTGACATTGACCTTTTTGTATATACTTTTAGTTTTCTGTCTAACGGACACTTTTTTCAATTTTGGTAACGACCAAAGAAAAGAAAATAATATTCGAAACGTGACGTGTCCATTTAATTAGCGACAATTAAAAAATTCCAATGCCACGTTCATCAAACATGATATTTTCATTGTCAATTTGAAATGATAATACTTCATTACAACGACAAAGTAAGATCTTTAATCGGATTAGTATACTTTCAGTGAATATTACATAGGGTTGTAACAATATATTTTTTAAACAATCCTTATTTGATATTCTCTTTCATTGTCGTGTCCTATTATTTCATTTTTGTACTAGTCAACATCTGAATTCCCGTCCATTTACACTTCATTCTTCAAGTGTTTGACATGAGCATTTTTGTTTATTGATTTGTGCGTTGAAAGCAAATGGATTAAAAATGATAATTCAAGTAAACCAATATTTCATTGTCTTTACAATTTATATCTTACTATCAATTAATTCTAAAGCCATCCAGTAAATTTACATTCATCACTTTTAAACCTAATTAATTGCATTAGATTGAAACATTTTCCAAATTTGTCGTTGTTGAAAATTAGCAGTTTTTTGAAATTCAGATATTTAGCTTTTGAAATTGGGGTTATGGTTTTTAAACGTGCTGAAACAAAGTTACACACATCTGTTTCGGATAACCGTATTTCTTTAATATATTACAAAATTATCTTAATTTTACACATACATGTGAATTGGGACATTACTTCCAACTAATCAGCTTTTAATAATTTTTAACTTTAAATCTCATGGCCTCGAGCGTTCATGGTAAAAGGCATACCATCTACACGTGTTGTGGTCATGATATTCATATCTAACGTGTGATCACTGACATCCGATATAATGTTGCAAAACAATCACGTTCAGTCTTTCCATTGTCAATTGTTATAATACGATAAAGTTGTAAAACATTCACCTTTCGGTCTGTGACGTATTTTTGATATTTTTTGACAAAAAATGGTGAGTTACTTCACACTAGATATTCTTGAAGCCTTTCAAATACAACTCATTAACAAATAAATTGAACAAAAATGTCATCATCATTGCGTATTACTTGCGTTGATTTCATGTAGGGAAAACTTCTATTTACATATTACCCGTTGCGGCACGGATCCAATTACTTCGATCATACACATGGGTATTCATGTTTAGTTGGGTTTCATTCGACCTTCAATATATTTTCATTAGACAAACACTCATCATAATGTATGATACAAAAATAGGTGAGTGCATAAATGTACAAATATTTGTATTTTAACGCCTTGTGGGAAGAGCAAAATGATGTCAGAAAAATAATTAACGAAACTCTCATGGCAGAAATATAGGTTTGATAGTTGTTTCCATAACGTCTGGTTTCAGAATTTTCATTCATTTTCAAAACGAAAACACAATTTGAAATTAATGCTATCAGTATGTTCTGCAAAGTGGGTCGTAGGATGAGAGGCAAGACATTCGAGATGGTCGACTGTCACAAGAAAATGAGGGATCT